GGTAATTCACTTAAAGCAATCGGGCAAATACGGTCGCTTTTATTCGACCGAAAGTCCAGAAAAGATTTAATATGATTCTGAATTGATCTTAAAACTAAAAATGCCACAATTCAGTAGTGCATCTATGATTTTATTTCAATAGGGCACATTTTTTTTTTTGAATTTATAATAAAATAAAAATAAACATCAAGACTAATTTCTAAAGAATAAGAAAGTATTGTAATTTTTATGAAGGATTTTTTTTTTTGACGGACCCCAACTTTACGAATTTGATAAATAAATCTCTTTTAATCTAGGCAATTTACCCCTTAAACTTTAAAATTATTACAATGTTGGTTAAATTGAAAATAAAGTTTAAATTTGGGATGATTTCCTCCACATGAGTGTTTGATGAGAGTAATTCGGGTCTTTTCACATTGACTTGGTCCCCATGTGCACACCATTGAAATTTTTTTGAAATTAGGGAACCTAAAATATTTCTTAAAGACTAATTTCTAAAGAATAAGAAAGTATTGTAATTTTTATGAAGGATTTTTTTTTTTGACGGACCCCCCAACTTTACGAATTTGATAAATAAATCTCTTTTAATCTAGGCAATTTACTCCTTAAACTTTAAAATTATTACAATGTTGGTTAAATTGAAAATAAAGTTTAAATTTGGGATGATTTCCTCCACATGAGTGTTTGATGAGAGTAATTCGGGTCTTTTCACATTGACTTGGTCCCCATGTGCACACCATTGAAATTTTTTTGAAATTAGGGAACCTAAAATATTTCTTAAAATGGTTAACCCTCAATTTCAAAAGAGAAAAAAAAAATAAAAACTCAAGATTTGCATATAGGAACCAATTCGATGCAAAAATATCAGAATTATAGCCTCATTAACTATTTATGTGGAAGAAACTATCTAAATTTTAACTTTACTTTCAATTTGATCAACATTTCAATAAATTTAAAAGATTAAGGGGTAAATTGCCAAGTTTAAAAATTGAGAGACTGATTTGCCAAACGCATAAAAGTTAGAATTGTATAAGAAATTCTTTTTTTTTTAATTGCATGACAATATTTAAGCTTAAAGTTCTCCATAATTACAACATTCTATTATATTTAATCAGCTAATTATTCCCTCAAAAAAATGAGCTAATTATGTAAATTTACATACTTTAATATTGCAATTTTAAGTTAATATCGAAGTCTTAGAAAGCCTATTCATAGGATTTATTTGATAATAAAAAGTAATAAATAAGGAAAGAAAAGAGAGAAGCAGTAATAGTTGGTAAAGTTTTGGGTTTTTTTTTTTTTTTTTTTTTTTTTTTTTTTTTTTTTTTCATACAAACTTGATCCAGATCATAATACAAATAGCACGTAATAGCGTAACTATCTTAAGGAAAAAAGCTATTGTCGCTAATAGATTTATAAAAGAAATACGAAAAAAAAAAAGAATTGAAATTATGCAAGAAAACGGATTGTTGAGTGAAAATATTTATCAAGGTTAAAATAATATTTCACACACAACGTAATTTCATCTCTATTAGGATTTAATTAATATAGGAGTTTATTATTTTTAGTTCGACACATCCAAGATTATAAGAATAACCTCTTAATTACAATCCCTTGGTACAAGAAAAGACCTTTTGATTCCAATTAAAACAATAAATTCTATTTTCTGTGAATTTAGAAAATTTAGGTTGATTTAAAATTGAGGCTGAACTCAGTGAATTTTATCGAGTTGCCTACATACCCCGTTAAGGGATCAAGCCACTTGTAGTTTGATTTTTGGGTTTGAGAATTTTGGATAATTCCTCGGTGTATGACTTTATGAGGAATTGACGCACTTTTAAAATTTGATTTGGTTATTGATTTTCTCTTTTATGAGAATTTTAGAATTGAATTTAGTCTTGAAACTGCACCTAAGTTTTAGGTTGCCTACGTATCTCATAGGGAATTAAGTCAATCGTAGTTCTTGAATTTGAATTTGGATTTTGAAGGATTCCCCGATATATGACCATAGGAGGAATTCAGGATCGAATTTGATCTTGAAACTGCACCTAAATTTTTAGGTTGCCTATGTATCCCATAGGGAATCAAGTCAATTGTAGTTCTTGAATTTGAATTTGAATTTTGAAAGATTCCCCGATATATGACCATAGGAGGAATTCAGGATCAAGTTTGATCTTGAAAGTACACCTAAATTTTTAAGTTGCCTACGTATCTCATAGGGAATTAAGTCAATCGTAGTTCTTGAATTTGAATTTAGATTTTGGAGAATTTCCCGATATATGACCATAGGAGGAATTCAAAGATATTTTAAAATTCGATTTGGAACTTTACTTTAGAATTTAGATTTAAAAATTATATTTGGATAATTCTTCGGTATATAACCTTATGGGGAATTAGAAGGATCATTTTTGAATTTGGTGTTGAGATTTTTTTAATTTAAATTTGGGATTATATTTAATCACTATATGATTTTATGAGACAATGAGCTCATCTTTTTGAGTTAAGAGACCATAAAAAAGCCCAATTTGTGCATTTCAAGTTTTTAGGTATTTAATATTCTGAATTTTTTGAAATTTATCCTCTATTTCTTATCCCTTTTTAATTTTGAATTTCATCATATCTAAATTGATTGATTCGATTAGATGATGTATATCTTTTTTTTTTTTTTTTGCTACTAATTTGATTTCAAAAAGAACTTAGATTTCCCTCATCCTCATCCTTTCTACACGTTTTCCTTCTTTTAATATATATATCTAACGTCAAGCGCCACAGCAAGCCACAGCAAGTCATTTTCGCTTTTTCCCTGCGTCACAGCAAGCCACAGCAAGCCATTTATATATATAAACCATTACACTGCAAAAGTCACGGCAACTGACCATCTCGGTTTAAATTTTTTAGATGAATTGATAAATTAATATAGTAAAAGAAAGAAAGGTTTTGAGTTTAAATTATTATAATTATATTTTTTATCTCTATTTAAAATTACCATCATGTGTTAAGTTTTTAATATATTTCGGATTTAAATATTCATTTATTGAGTTTTATAATTAATTTACTCACACGATTACTCATTATCCAACTCATACGTAAAGAGAAGTGTTAAAATATAAAACTATTGTCAATAAACTATCAAACTTTGCACGGCAACATATAAGTGATACATACATATATATATATATATATATAAATGGTATATATAAATGATATACATATATGTATATATTCTTTTCTTTGCAGACGTTTGTAGAAAACACGTGTCAGCGTCTTCTCAGTCTGCTCTTTCATATATACTTACGTGTATATATATATATGATGTATTCATATATGATTTTTTTTTTGCGTCAAATCATATTTCTTCTGACAAAACTTTAATTGCAGAGTCATTCTCTAATTCCAAGTAAAAAGAGAAAGAGATTGCCTTTCAGCCAAAAGAACAAAAGAGACGAAGAGACGTTGTTGAAGGTAAATTTTTTTATTTAGCCTTTCCGTTGTTTTTCTCGTTTTAGTTTTTGACTGATTTTTACTCCTCTTTTTCTTTTTGTTTTACAGGAAATGAAGAGACCTTACATAAGTGGCCATTAATTTTGTTTTGGGCTGCACTTTCTGTGAGTCAGACTCAAAATTATAGTAATATTTTGAATCGTACCATCAAAGTTAGATTTATCACATATATGTATATATACATGTGTATATTTTTAGGTTGCATCATAATGATCAAATTTTTTTTTCTAGAAGTTCTAAATTTTAGAACCCTATAATTTTGTAGAGTTTAAAAATTTACAATTCACTTTCTTTTTTTAGAGGTTTTAAATTTTACAATCTTATAATTTTGTAGAGTTTTAAAATTTATAACTCTATTTAATTTCTTAGAAATTTTAAATTTTACAACCTCATAATTTTATAGAGTTTTAAAATTTATAATTCTATTTTTTTTAAAAATTTTAAAACTTGCAACCTCACAATTTTAATTAGGTTTAAAAGTTTAGAATCTGTATGTCTTAGACATAAATCTGACTGACAATGACAAATGAACTTCTTATCTTGAAAAACGGGTAGACAAAATATAGATGAAGATAGATGAGTAAATGACAAATTTTCTACCTTTTTTTTTCGATAATTCTCTCTACACACGTTCACAGTTCACTTGCACAAAGTCCTTTTTTTATGCTACGTCCCCTCACCTGCATACACACACTTTTATTTTTTCTTTTTCGTTCCTTTCTCTCACTTCTCTTCTGCACACACGTTGCACCAAAAAATTTTTGTTTTTCGTTCCCTATATGCCTATATATAGGCATTTTTGAAGCAACCCACGTCTTTTTTTATTATTTAAATAAGATTAGTTACTTTTCTCTTTAAAAGATTATCTCCACGTTATTTTCATCAAACTCTCCACTAACACATTTTACTTATTCTTCACACACCCACTTCTTCCAGGAAGTTTTCTAACCTCCCACATGTAGGTTTTTTTTTTTTTTGCTTAACAGATGCCCCTTCGAGTATGTACGTGACATTTATGTGCGCGTGCCATACTCGAGGAAAGAAGAAGAAAATAATAATAATTTTATATTCATTTCTTCTCTTTTTTTTTTACACGCTTATTTATGGATGCTTTTGGCAAACTTCGTTCGGAACGGCCCCTGAGGAATCTGGCAAAGAATTTACTTCAGGGCCAAGTTACCAACGTTCGGTTGGTTTAGATGAAGTTCGAGCTTCGACAAGATTTAGCAGTCCCCTTTATTTGCTTAATTCTCAAGAAGTCCATTCTGGTTATTTAAGATATCTCTTCGATGGTGAAGAAAATGCCATCCAATTGAGTCAACAGAAAGGTGCCATTTTCAAAGCTGAAACCCTCAAGGAAGTTGACACTGGGCATGAAGGGGATCTCAGGAACACGGTTACTCCCGATTTTACCCTGGTTTGCATTGAATGCTATAAGAAAAAAAGAAACCTCCTTTGCAATTCAATTTTCGTGGTCGGGCTCACTTCCAACCTGTTTAATGGAGTGGACTGCAAAGATTATCAGTCGTAACCGCAACGTTTTGAAGAGAGCAGAGATTTATGATGCAGTAGCTGTTGCGCAATATCCTTTTTCTCATAACTGTAATGTTTGGCGAGCATTTGCTAAATTGTGGGGACCAACAAGCAATACTCTCCATCATATTGGTGGTGAAATGAGAATCTCATTGTATGATCTGAAAACCATCGGAGGTTTGCCTATCTTGCACTTCCTTATGTCATCCTTGCATTGTAGAACTTTTAAGGATCCATTCTCGTATATGCAATATTTTGAAAACTCAATTTGTATCTTGGGATTAATGGACAGAGTATTTTTATAGAGGAGAACAAATGTTTGTTGGTTTGAAAACTAAGCAGGCTCAAGATTCCCATTCTAAAGATTTCCAAAAGAAGCCTCAAAAAAGCCAATTAAGACAACTTCCTTTGCAGGTTTCAGAAGTTGGTATGCTCTTTGCATTCCTATCACTATGGTTAAGTCGTTTCGTCCTTCCTACCAAGGGTGGCAACATAAGGCCTGAAACTTTTTATATGGCCTCTCTGATGGCTCAAGGCACGAGAGTGTCACTCGCCCCCATAGTTTTGGGATACATTTATCGCACATTTAATGAGTACGTCGCAGGTACGAACGAATTTGGTGTTAGTCGGGTTTTTCTTCCAATGCACTATGTCATCGGATGGTTAGCTGAACACGTCCCTTATTTATATTTTGGTTGGGAAGACAACAATAACCTGCCTTTGTTGCGTAAATATGCTAGAATCGAGCTTGAGAAAAGAACTATGACTGGAAGTAGGCATATGATACGCGACGAACAGCATGTCCGTTACCGCCCATATTCATATCATGAAGAGAGAGATACAGATTACTTAGATGATGAAGACTTAGCCGACGAGAAATTTGAACTTTTATTGTCCATGCGTGCAGCTTTACTCCCTGTGAGGGTAGGTGGTGTTATATTTGTGGAACTGTACTATCCAAATAGATTCGCTCGCCAGTTTCGTTTTGACCAAGGCGTTCCTTCAGATAAGTTTCGTTTTACGGTTGATGCGAAATAGACTTGCGGGATAGATGGATTTGCCGATGCTTGGTATTTATTTTTAAAAAGACATACTGGGACTTATTTTCGTATACCAAGGGCCACCCGCATAGGGCAATGCACATGGTGGTATTGCCGTTGGTGGATGCGTAGCACTACTCCTTACTTGGGGCGCTTAGTGAAAAATCTCCATTCATTATTTGAGAAAAGGCCATACAAGGAAGAAGATGTATACGTGATAACTGACATCCGATGTCTTCATGCCAGTGTAGATGACATTTTCATTCGATCCCATTCTCTGGCAGATATTGTTAATACTCACGAAGCTTCTCAATCCAGTGATGGTGATGAGCGAGATACGAACCCTAAAAGAATGAGACGTACAGAGATACTGAGCTTGATTATGCAACTGCTGAAACTGTCTCTTTCCCAGTGAAGTCTTCAGAACCTGGACATATGGATGTAGGAACTGCTTCTTCTTCATTCCAAAATACTGGAACTAATGTTACTAGTTCTGATCATATGCAAGTTGCCACTAATATAATTACTTCATCTTTTGGGCCGAGAAATAAGTCAACAAGATTTGAAGATCTTCCAGAAATCATTGGGACCCTATCATCTCCTGATAAAACGCAATTAGGTCTCTTGACGACGAAGAGCCCGAAGATTTTGAAAGTTTCAGGGAGCAGGCTATTGTTGAAGATCAATGGACAGAGTATTTTTATAGAGGAGAACAAATGTTTGTTGGTTTGAAAACTAAGCAGGCTCAAGCTTCCCATTCTAAAGATTTCCAAAAGAAGCCTCAAAAAAGCCAATTAAGACAACTTCCTTTGCAGGTTTTAGAAGTTGGTATGCTCTTTGCATTCCTATCACTATGGTTAAGTCGTTTCGTCCTTCCTACCAAGGGTGGCAACATAAGGCCTGAAACTTTTTATATGGCCTCTCTGATGGCTCAAGGCACGAGAGTGTCACTCGCCCCCATAGTTTTGGGATACATTTATCGTACATTTAATGAGTACGTCGCAGGTACGAACGGATTTGGTGTTAGTCAGGTTTTTCTTCCAATGCACTATGTCATCAGATGGTTAGCTGAACACGTCCCTTATTTATATTTTGGTTGGGAAGACAACAATAACCTGCCTTTGTTGCGTAAATATGCTAGAATCGAGCTTGAGAAAAGAACTATGACTGGAAGTAGGCATATGATACGCGACGAACAGCATGTCCGTTACCGCCCATATTCATATCATGAAGAGAGAGATACAGATTACTTAGATGATGAAGACTTAGCCGACGAGAAATTTGAACTTTTATTATCCATGCGTGCAGCTTTACTCCCTGTGAGGGTAGGTGGTGTTATATTTGTGGAACTGTACTATCCAAATAGATTCGCTCGCTAGTTTCATTTTGACCAAGGCGTTCCTTCAGATAAGTTTCGTTTTACGGTTGATGCGAAATAGACTTGCGGGATAGATGGATTTGCCGATGCTTGGTATTTATTTTTAAAAAGACATACTGGGACTTATTTTCGTATACCAAGGGCCACCCGCATAGGGCAATGCACATGGTGGTATTGCCGTTGGTGGATGCGTAGCACTACTCCTTACTTGGGGCGCTTAGTGAAAAATCTCCATTCATTATTTGAGAAAAGGCCATACAAGGAAGAAGATGTATACGTGATAACTGACATCCGATGTCTTCATGCCAGTGTAGATGACATTTTCATTCGATCCCATTCTCTGGCAGATATTGTTAATACTCACGAAGCTTCTCAATCCAGTGATGGTGATGAGCGAGATACGAACCCTAAAAGAATGAGACGTACAGAGATACTGAGCTTGATTATGCAACTGCTGAAACTGTCTCTTTCCCAGTGAAGTCTTCAGAACCTGGACATATGGATGTAGGAACTGCTTCTTCTTCATTCCAAAATACTGGAACTAATGTTACTAGTTCTGATCATATGCAAGTTGACACTAATATAATTACTTCATCTTTTGGGCCGAGAAATAAGTCAACAAGATTTGAAGATCTTCCAGAAATCATTGGGACCCCATCATCTCCTGATAAAACGCAATTAGGTCTCTTGACGACGAAGAGCCCGAAGATTTTGAAAGTTTCAGGGAGCAGGCTATTGTTGAAGTCCCGTATGAACCTTCTCCATTAGCGGTTGTCGTGCCTCCATCAAAAGTCATTTATCGAATTTCTAGTATCACTAATCAAATTTCAGATAAACCTACTCGAGATTACTTGATTAGTATGTTGAAGTCAATCTCTGATTGGATTTTACTTTCAACATCGCCAGAAAGCACTCTAAATTATCGCTCTCAAGTTTCTGAGTATCTCAAAACAATAGATTTCCTCATTGATATGAAGGGGATATCTTGAGGTGAGTTCATATGGTTTACAGACACTGTAAATCGTTTGTTCGATTCAGAAAAGCATTTAGTCACTTTTTCTTCTTTTATTGAAGAGAAAGCTTCCATGAATGAAAGGTTAATTTTAGATTTGATTCATCACAAAAAGGAGCATCTTACTGCTATGTGTATTTTGTCTAGAGATCTTCCAAGTGCCCAATCGGCTATAGAGAATATTGAGGCTTCTGAGGTAGAAGTAAAAGACGCTGAGCAGAAGGCGCTGCAATTGCGACGTTCATATGATGATCGATTAAAATCTGCAAAAGATGCAGTTTCCCAGCTGAAGAATTCTTTAGATGAACAAATAAAGATCGGCGATGAGATCAAGCAACTGCAGGTTGAAGCTAAGGTTGCAAGGTTTATCGAAATTCAAGAAGCTACAGCTGAAGCCAGGTCTCAGGAGCAGGAATCTCAGAAGATACGTGACTCTTTGGCTGCATTCTTCAAGGAAGACTGATGATGATTTCACCCCTTCTTTTCTTCAGTTAGTTCATTGCTTTATTTATTTACTTCCGCTATTATCTTTCTTCTGCAGGTTATGCGTCAGGAGGCGTATCTCCCTATTTAGGCATAGAATTTCTTGATAAACTTTCCATTTACACAAGGATAAATGCAGTGACCCTTTGAATCAGAAAGTTCATATGCCCCTTTTGGAAAGACCTTAGTGATGACGTATGGTCCTTCCCATTTTGCTTCAAATTTACCTTGCATCCTTCTCGTGATAATGATTGGTCTTCTGATTGTAAGGACCAACTCTCCGATCGTGAATGATCTAAATTTGACCTTTTTGTTAAAGGCCACTACCACTTAGGCTTGGTAAATTTTGAGCTTTTGTTGTACTACGAGCCTTTTCTCATCTAATACTTCAAGCTCAGCTAGTCTCACTTGGACATTTTCATTTGGTGCCATCAATTGAGTAGCAATTCTGAGAGATGGTAATTGCATTTCCAATGGGAGTACGGCCTCAGAGCCAAAAACCAAACTGTATGGTGTGCAACCCGTTGCAGTTCACACTATGGTTCTATAAGCCCATAGGGCTTCCGGGAGGCGTTCATGCCAATCTCTCCTGTTCTTTGACACCATTTTCTTTAGGATTTTACAAAGCACTTTGTTGAAGGCTTCTGCTTGGCCATTTGAAGACGGATTATAACTTGCTAAGAATCCATGTTGGAATTTGTATTTTTCCATCAACTTCGTCATTGCTTTGCATCTAAAATAAAGAGCGTTGTCGGAGATGATCTTTGATGGCACTCCATAACGATAGATTATATGATTCTTTATGAAGTTTGTGACATCTTCTGGTTTTACTTCTTTTAAAGGTACTGCTTCAGCCCATTTTAAAAAATAATCCGTCCCAGCCAGAATATACTTATGACCCTTTGAAGATGCTAGTGTGAAAGGTCCAATTACATCTAAGCCATGAGTATCGAATGGCCACGACATGACTGATGGATGAATAGGCAATGGAGGTTGATGGATGAAATCTCCATGAAGCTAGCATAACTTGCAACGCTTAGCAAAATTAATTGAATCTTGCATCATGGTGGGCCAATAATAACCCAATCTTTTTATTTGTGTTGCAAGTTTAGGGCCGGATTGATGAGCTCCGCATGTTCCGGCATGTGTTTCTTGAAAAGCATGTGATGCCTCATCTTTTGATAAACACCTCAATAATATTCCATTAAAACATCGTCTGTACAAAGTGTCATTTATGAAGACAAATTGAAGAACCCTTCTTCATACTTCTATTTTTTTCTTTGGACTGTCCGGTAATGCCCCATGTTGGAAGTAATCGATCAATGGTTGACGCCAATCTGCCTCCTCTGTATTTTCACTAAAAGTAACTACATTTACTGTTTCCTCCTCTTGAGTTCTTTTGATTACTGGTGGTAGCAGACGTCGTTCGCCAACAGTTATCTGCATTCCCCTTTCATCTGGTAAAATCAAGGATACTGCGAGACTAGCTAAGGCGTCAACTTTGTCATTTTCTGATCATGGAATGTGACTTAGCATGATGTCTTGAAACTGGGACATTAAATGCTTTATTTTCTCATGATATGGGGTCAAGTTCTCATTTTTGACAATGTACTCCCCATTTAATTGTTTGACGATTAACTGAGAATCGCCAAACACCCTCAAATGGCTTATCTACATTTCGAGTGTTATTTCTAAACTAATAATCAGTGCTTCATATTCTACAACATTATTTGTGCAAGTTACGAGAATAGAGAGTGAGTATGGTATTAACCCCCCTGACGGTGTAATGAGTACAACGCCTGCCCCAGCACTATTTTTCCTTGCTGCTCCATCAAAGTAAAGCTGTCAGAAAGACATTTCAGTGGCAAATACTTCTTCATCTGGAAGGTCATCGGGCAGTTCCATGTTGTCAGGAATGGGGTGTGCTGCCAAGAAATCAGCAAGTGCTTGGCCTTTGACTGCTTTCTATGGAACAAACTTGATATCGAACTCTAACAAGATCATAGACCATTTAACGAGATGCCCTGAGAGTACCGGCTTTGAGAGTATGTACCTCAAGGGATCTGCCCTTGATATGAGAGTCACCGAGTGTGATAACAAATAATGTCATAACTTCGTGACAGCA